TTTTCTTTTTTTGTTCTACGACTTTTTAATACTTTGTGTTTTTTACCGAAATATAAAAAATGCATTTAAATACTTTAAAGTTTAATTAATTACCAATTTTTGACAAATGAGACAATTTCTATATCGTATTTTTTATTCTTTTATTATTTATAAATATGAGTCAAATATCTTTTATAAAATCGCGTCACCTTAACAATCTATTCTACATTTCGTTATAATGAAAACTTATGTCACTTTGTTGGTGGTATATATTGTATATTTTTTAATACTTTTTTCATTTTAAATTATGCATAATTGTGTCACTGATGACTTAGCCTTTTTACTTTTAAAAATTATATTACGAGTTTTATGGCAGGTGTATTATAATTATTTAAATGCATTATTCACAAGTAAAATGAAATAAGCTTTTAAATTGACGCAATATTTTTTATTGTTATAGATAGTCCAACATTTTATATAGTCATCTTGTTATTGTTGTCTTAACATTGTCTCAAAACTCTGCTCTAACGATTGGTTTAATATACCACATATAATTTTATTATCTCCAAAAAGCGTTTATCATTTTTATTTTTTTTTTATCTTTATTAGAATTTATACTATAATCATTCTCATTAAGAAAGTCCACTAAACAACAACAACAACATACTAAAAAATATCTTAAACCGGTATAAACTATTTGCTTCCTTTCTTTACTGAAATACCATGCTATACCACTGACGTCATTACGACCTCATAGGGTCCCATTTGAATTTTATAATTCTGTCTTTAGTAATTCCAATTGAAATTATTTTGCTTTGAACCAAATTGTCTAAAAAAAAGATCATTGACATATATTGCGTTAGTGCAGCACATATTTTAAAATTAATTTAAATTTTATGAGTACATTTTTAGAGTAATCTAATATTTTGGGAGTAGTGTTAAGAGGTATTTATTTTTTTATGTATACATATATCGAATCAAATAACACTTTATCTGTCAATTCATACTCTCATATATAACAGCTATTAATTTCAGGGTAATTTTGCTACTCTAGCAATATAGAGTTTTAAATTAATCTCGAGTGTTATACATTTTGCCCCAGATTTACTAATCAAAAATGAACATTGCACTAAAAGTGCATCTCGTTTGAAAAAGTTACTCAAGATTTACCAATTAAAAACGTCATAAGTTATTTCTATATATTAACTTTATTTACTGATCTATTTGATTGAAAAAATAAAAAAAAAAAATTTTTTTTTTGACTTTTGCCCGACTTAACCATCTTTGTCTTCTGCAGAACCTGTTAAATCACTGTTTTTAGTGTTTTTTCAATATAGAATATAGTATATAATATATATATAATATAGTAGTGGATTTATAGAATAAATAGACACAGATATTCAGCTTAATTAAGTTTAAATTTTTTAAAAATTGTTTTAATATTATTAGCCAGTTTCATTTATTGTCTTTAGAAAGCAAACGTGACATGAAGCCTACCTTGGTCACTTTTGAATGCATTCACCATATAGTATATCGTTGCTAGTCCTGATGTATATGCTCTATAAAGATTATTCAAAAGATTTTAATTTGTATCACATAGCTTACACTTTTTATATAACTATTTGGTTGTCTGATCACTCTACAAAATTTGTAATTTTTTTAAATACTTCAGATGAATTTTTGAAACCATCGGATGAATTCACTTCAAAAAGCTCTATATTGTAAGCGTCTTATAACAGATTCTTGTAAAAACTTGTTGATTTGCATTTGTATAATCTAAAAAAGAAAAAATTATTAATCTCTTGTAAAAAAAGTATCGTTTACTGATTAATAATAGAATAACACAAAGTAATCATAGTATGTAATTATACATTATCTATATAGTTTTTCTTTGTTTTAGCTATTTTTACTCTACTAATGTGATTTGAGAGGTATATTTATTTTGTTTAGATATTTGTAATGCAGTGCCGGAAACGTTGAATGACATATAAACGTAATCAGCAAAACGCTGCATTTTTATTTAGTTATGTGCTTGTCTGTAAACGTAGATATGTCGATATTTCATCACTAACTTAATGAACTAATCAAGTGGAACTCTACAAATGATTTCCTTTAAATCCAAGATAATAAAATTAACATATGAATGAAAAAGGCTTACTGTATCAGGCATCGCCCATATAAAATGACTCTTGGTAAAGATGTATATTTGTAAAAGCTTCTCTATTCATTTTAATTTCATAAATAATTTGGAAGATAGATCAGAATGTACAGTTTTACAGTTTTAAAATGACGATTACAAACTTATGCACATAATTGATCAATACATTATCTTTGTAGGTTGTAGCCTAAGTAAGATAAGCCTTTCTTAATTTTAAAGTAAAATTTTAATAAAACTTACTGACCTGTTTAGTTGATATTTTAAGACATACATCATCGTTAGTCGTATCCAGGCAGTGTCTTGATCTGGTTTCTAATTTATATGGAAGTGGTGTTTAGATCTATGTCTTTAACTGTAAGCTGAGTGAATAAGATTACTCTCATTAGGTAGGTTTTATTGAAAACTTTTTTCATTACTCACGAATTATTGTAAGTATTCAATAGAATCAGTGTAGAGGGTGTGTGTTGACTTAGAGCGAGAGACAAAGAGAGAGAGCAGTGACCATAATCATTAAATTAACTAGTATGCTCCCTTCCTCTATTTTCTCTTGGCGGTATTCTGTTACAAGGCTTTCTTTCCATTTTCATTGAGGAGGTGTTTCAAATGGTGAGGTTAACCTACAGCTTTACAGATAACTTCTTATTCACTATGCACGAATAATTGTAGCTATTCAGGGAAAGCCACGTAGAGGGTGTGTGAGCTTGGTGACAATCGTGTTGGTATTAACTAGGTTAAATGTAATTAGTTATATGCTTAGTTACTTTCTTTTCTCCTAAGCCAAGAAATTTCAACAAAAGCTGTACTGTTTTAATATTTTTTTTGTTTTTTTTATCTTGTCAAATATATAAAGTATAACCATGAAATAGGCTTAATTTTTAATTGAATACATTAATTGAATTAATTTCATTTGAAAAATTATGGTTTTAGTCGAAACTCCACGATACCCCATATATTATAAATTTACTTCAATCGTTTTAATTTCATTAAAGACGAAAGACAACTTTTACTTTAGTTTGTTTCTGTTTTTTTTTTTTTGGTTTGTTTGTGTATGAAAATATAAATTTTCGGAAAATTTGTGAAAATCATATTAGTTCATACAGCATGAAAATTTAATGTGGAAACAAATTTCTACTGAGCCTAACGGTATTGTGTTAGCCTTTACAGTGAGCAGCAATAATAGGTTCAATGGACTTTGAAGATATCAAATTAATCCGCTTATTTCAGCTTTTCATAGCGAAATTCCGCTAAAAGAGCTTAAATTTTGGTAATAAATACTCTTTTCCCGTCAATTAACTTAGTCATGTTGCTGCTGTTGAAATTCTGCGCAGTATAATTGAATTAAATTCGAAATTTTGAAAATTACCTTAAACATATTTACAACTTCCTTTCCTTTATAGTATTTTAACTAATAACCCACACCTATAGTTTTACGAGTATATAATTCTAAGGCATGTCTGTGGATAGTAAATCATTTGTAACATAACATAGCGTTGTAGCTACACACCGGCCGGCAATGGCAATGGCAAAACGTGAGCAGTATCTAGATACTGAGATACTCAATTGTCAGCAATGAAAAGCAACAGATATATGTGAGCTGAAGGAAAAGTCAAATATTATGAACGATTTGTTTGGTTTTGTTTTGTTTTGCTTTGCTTTGCTTTTATGAAAGTATCTGCTTACCAAGAAAATAAAAAAATATGAATAGATATGAATAATACAAAAAACAAAAAACAAGAAACAAAACAATCAAGTGGTAAATGAGTAAATGAGCGCACGAATTAGCCAAACGCCGCTACTAACTGTTAGTAGCAAGCAACACTACATTTACTTAAGCACGTAAGCGCCAGCGTCGTACTTTAAGATACAACAAATTTTTAAGATACAATTGAATTGAGTGCATGAGTGTTTGGTTTATTTTTAAAATAAAAAATTATTTTTTGTTGTTAATGTGAATGAGTAAAATTTTGATTTTCAGTTAAATTTTGATTGCTGCCGACAAATTCAACAAATTCAACAACAAATTGAGCAAATTTCCATAGCTGTTAGCTTGTCTGTCAGTGAAGGCTAATAAAATTTCAAGTAATTGTGGAAAAGACCTAGTACACTCTTTCAATCTATGTACGTGTCGTCCAATTTCCACTCTTCGCTTGATAATTTGTTGCTCTGGATTTGTTGTTGAGCGCAAAACGTGAATTGTAAAATTAAAAATCAAACGAAAATAATTTCATTTAGTAGTTGAACGCAATCAGGCAAGCAACCACAAAAGCGCTTACACACCAGCAATTAATCTGAAAGATACAAATCGTTTAGTGAAATATTAACGCGTAAAAGTGTTAAGTGTTTTCCAAAACCTTGAATTTTGGTTATTTTTTTACTAATAAAAAAAATTGATTTTTAATAAAACAAAACAAAAAAAAAATAGAGTAATTTATTTTGCAAATTGTGAAATTGCGAATTAAAAAATAATAAGAATATATAATAACACCAGAGTAAAAAAAAGTGTCAACAAGATAAACAAATATTTAAAAAAATAAATAAAAAAAAATTGTTGATAAAACTTAGAAAAAAATAAATTACTTTTCAAAATAATTAGTGCACATATCAAATTTTGAACGTATTTCCTTTATGTAAGATATATGTGGTCTCTTTTTGTATTTAATTTAATTTAATTCAATAACTCATATAATAAATTATTCATCTAATAAAGTTATTCATCTTATTAATTATACATCTTATTATTTATTCACATAATTATTTATTCACATAATTATTTATTCATTAAATTATTTATTCATTAAATTCTTTATACATTAAATTAAATATTTACTAAAAATACAAGTACTGCCTTTATGTTGTTGAACAGATCGCGTCGCTGAATATTCTGACGAGGACGAAGAAGGAGAATTCAGTTCAGGTGAATTTAACGACGAGACCAATGAACTTGGTTTACCGGGTTACGAACAGAAACGTGATTATAATCCGGCTAAGCATGATATGCGAAAATATCGTAAACTGCAACGCTCTGAAGTAGAAGAAGTTAATTTAGGCACAAATCCAGTTGATAGTGATAGTGAATTCGAAATGAAGGATAAAAACTCATCACGTGCAAAAATAAGCAGGGTGAGTAAAATTTACTGTATATTAATTTATTTTTAAGTTTAATCTAAGAATTAATAAAAATCAACTAGAATGAATATATACGAAAAGTCGAAAGAATTTGCAGAATTAGATTCATGATGGGAAGGAAAACTCTTCAAGTAAATATTTTATACTAAAATTGTTGTTTTTTAATAAAATTGTATCTCTGAAGTTGTTGCGAAAACAGAATTTCAAAATTAATGAATCCAGATTGTAATTTTTTAAAAATATGCACGCAAGTATAATTGAAACAAGAGATAATTTTAAGTGATAATTTATTATAATATTATGTGAAGTATTTTTTTTATATTTATACTTATGTATCTCTCAGAATTACAAACAGTCGATATTTTTAACTGCGTCAATCAGTTATTGTTTTGTTGTATCTACACTGGAATGCAAATTAGTTATAAAAGATTTATTTAACCTATATTTGAATTGTAAGCAGATGTCAGATACAACAATAAGATCTAAATATCTGTACTTACTAATCACTACTACAAAAATACCTGAGTATAGCCAAGCAATACTGGGCTGACGAACCTCAATGTCAGATTTCTAGGTTGACTTGGCCGAACTTTGACAAGAAAAGAACCCGTCAGCTACTTCAACTAAGACGGAACCTGCTCAGCACTACGGTATCTGTGCTGACGGGACACTGCGTAATAGGAAGGCATGCTATGAGACTGGGTCTCCCCTTTAATGACTTTTGTAGAGGCTGTGGCTCTGAGGATGAGGAGGAGACTGTACTCCATCTCATGTGTCAGTGCCCTTCCCTAGCCAGAAGAAGATTAAAAATCCTTGGATCTCCTTTTCTAACTGACCTGACTGAGTTGTCATCCTGTAATGTTAGGGACCTAGCCAAGTTCATAGAACTGTCAGGTTGGTTTTCCTTTACCTAATAGGGGAGTCGTTACCTTTCTTCGGCGTTAAATGTATACTGATTAAAATCTATATACAAATAACGTAACTCCTGTGGTACCACAACGGGCCTTTATTTGTGCTTAAGTGGGCTTTTTGGGATACAAGGCCGCCACTCCAACCTATACCTATACCTAATCACTACACAACTATAACAAAAAATTGTTTGATTTAAGAAAACTGAATATTTATTTTTTGAATAATTTATCAGTCTAAAACGCAAATGCGTAAAATACATATATTTCCACCCGGAATAGACCCGTGTACGAGATATTCCTAGCTTGTCTAGACCATTTTTATTTACTTTTAATTAAAAAAAGAAACACACTTATTTATTATTATTACTTTTTTTTTTTTTTGATTTTTTTCAGTATATTATCTATGATACTCATCTTCATATCACTTGTCAGTGATATGATCTAAAAATACAAAAATGACAAATTATTTAAACGTGCCTAAAGAAAATATCCAAAAATGCATATAAATTGTTGTTATTTATATATATTAAATTCCTGTGTACTTGAGTATAAATTTATATTATATTTTTTAGCGCTTTAAAGATAATTTTTATTTATTTATTTTATATTTTTTTTTTTTTTTTGTATTGAATTATTAATATGTTAATATAATTTGAAGCAGGTGGGAATTTGGTAAAGTGGTAAAGTTGATTTTAATGAATTGTTCTTTAAGTTGCTATATAACTGGCTTTATAACTGAATCATATTGGCTGTTGTTCTATTTAAAAAGGTCTTTATTGGATTTGGTTTATATTTAATATTTTACTTTACAAATCCAGTCACTACTAGTGTGGATTTGTAAATAAATCTTCCTATACAAAGCTTTTCGTATTTCTGGAAATGATAGCTTGTTCAGATTTGGTCCATTTTCAGTATTTATATTTATTTAAGAGACAATGTCGAAAGAAACTCTAACATAAAAAAAACCATGCAAACATATAAATTATTAAGTCTCAAAAATATTTAATTTCAGAAGTTATGACGTACAACAGTTTATAGCTTATTAGACTATTAGAGCCATAAATGTTAAAATATGTCAGAAATTGTTTGTGTTATTTATTAAATTATTATATTATTAGTATATAAAATAATAAAAATTGTTTAAGTTTTTGCAAAAAAGAATTATATAAAAATCCTTTTACTATTCGTATATATGTTGTTATTTCCGTTTTATATAAATATAAGTATAATTAAATACTAATTAGCAAATGTATTAGAATATTATCACGAGAAACTTATTTCAAATAATAACAAACACTGTTCTTTACCTTTTTTTATGCATTGTCGTATAAAACATTTGTTCAAATTTACTTAAAGAAAATACGAGTACGTTTATATCATCAAGTTATTATATATAAAAAATTATTATCATTAAGAAACCTTAAGTCTTTACATAAAATAAAAAACAAATATCTTATCATTTCGCTTGCAATGCCATAAATATATTTTTTAATTTTAAAAATAAAATTATTGTATTAGGGAAAGTAAGTGCTTAATTTTCAATTAATTTTTATAAATCGTGTTATTTATAAACTGAAATATTTTCCCGGTGCGATGATAATAGTACGTACGTATCAATAACATTACGTAAATAAACACATGACGTCAAAATTACGTGCCATTACATCTTACAGACACGTATTCGTCTGTAAGTCTATTTTTATACCCAAAATCTTTACATTATTGTATAAACAATATAAACAATATCCTCCAGATTTCATTTTCTGAAACAAGGAAATTTTTACCTTTGTTCGGTACTTGGTACAAAGCAAAGAGGTGGCAACAGCTTAAAAGTAATCCATAAATCTTTTCAAAAACTTTTTACGCGCAATTTTTTATTGTATATATTTTATATACATAATTATATTTTTCACAGTTATGAAATTTAAAACAAAACTGGAAACATTAAGATATAAACAAAATTAAAAAATTGTATAAATTTTAATTTGGAAATTTATTTGGTGTTCAAATACACTTAAACCAATTTTGTTGCAACTTAATGGCTAATTGCCCTTGATGCTATTATTTTTTTTTTATATATATATATTTTTTTTTGTATATATATTTTATATTTATTTTAATAATTTTATTTTTATTTTAGTAATTTTATTTTTATTCTAATCACAGTTTTATTTTTATTTTAGTAATTTTATTTTTATTTTAATAATTTTATTTTTACTTTAAAAATTTTATTTTTATTTTAATCACAGTTTTATTTTTATTTTAATAATAATTTTATTTTTTTTTTAATAATTTTATTTTTATTTTAATCACAGTTTTATTTTTATTTTAATAATTTTATTTTCATTTCAATAACTGTTTTATTTTTATTTTAATAATAAATTTTTTAATAATATTTTTTTTTATTTTAATAATATTTTTTTTTATTTTAATAATATTTTTTTTATTATATATTTTTTTATTTTATAATATTTTTTTGTATATTTTTTATTTTAATTTAATATTTATTTTTTTTTAATAATTTTATTTTTATTTTAGTAATTTTATTTTATTTTTAATAATTGTAATTTTATTTAAAATTTTATTTTTATTTTAATTTAGTTTTATTTTTATTTTAATAATAATTTTATTTGTATTTTAATAATTTTATTTTTATTTTAATCACAGTTTTATTTTTATTTTAATAATAATTTTATTTTCATTTCAATAACTGTTTTATTTTTATTTTAATAATAATTTTATAAAAGAAATATTACGTTAAGATAGTATGAAGATAAAACCAAATAAAATAAAATAAATTAAATTAAAAAAAATCAATTAAAAAAAAAAAAATTAAATAAAAATATAATGGGAATATTATTCATATTAAATAAATAAAATAAATAAAATAAATAAATTAATTATTAGTATTCATATTTTCATTATATTTTTATTTCTTTATTTTTCTTTAATTTATTTTATTTATATTATATTTTAATATTATATATTTATATTTTATTTATATATATATTTTTTTTTTATTTTTTTATATATATTTTATTATGTATTTTTTTATTATTATTTTTTATATTTTTTTATTTTATATATGATGTAGTTTTACTTGATTTCTTTTTATATATCTTATATATTTTGAATTTCATTTTGTTTTAAAAATTTTTGTTTAATTTAATATATTTTTATTATAAATTTCGATTGTATAAGTTCATATTAATTATTTGATTGAAATAATAAGTATTAGTTATTACTATACAAATATTTAAATAAAATAACTATGAGTCTATTAAGTAGTTAGTTAAAAACTAACTTCGGGCTATTAACTTAGTAAACTTACATTAATTAGTAAAGTTTTATTGTCAAATTAATTATATTGTTCTTTCACTCTTTTGTTTATTTTATCTTAATTAAAATAAAAACGAAATTTTAAAATACTTTTATATTATTCAGTTTTTAGCCTTCGACCTGTGAAATGTACAGTGTCACATGCAAAAGAAAATGTAGGACAAAAATTCATGGAAATTGAATTGTTTGGGGGCTAATATATTTAATTTTTATTACATTCAGCATTTCTTTTTAGGGATGTCCGCATATACCCAGTGTACTGGGTACTGGGTATTGCCTTGAGCTAATTGAGTGCACGGATTTAGGTTTTACTTCACCTTTACCTTTGTTTTGTTACTATTGCATTTTATGTAGATACTTTTGTATTTCCATTGTTAAATCTTATTTTAAGCTTGCGGTTCTATATTTAAAGAGGGATTACATGATATTATTACCTTGTGAGCTATTTTTACTTGTTTTGTTTTTTAACTATAGCAATTACCTCAAAATGGGTTTTAGATAGTTTGCGTGTAGGTCGTTTAATTGTAAAGATATGTGAGAATCCATAGAAATAAATAGAAATCATTGAAAATTAATAAATAATGTCTGTGTTCAATAGTATTTTCGATATATGAAAATAATGATTTTAAATATTAATAATGCAATTATGCCTAAATATAGTTTCATTATTTTACTAAGTTAAATGTAGATACTTTAATTTGTTTTTGTATATTTAGAATTTAGTTTTAGTTGAAATATTAATTTATTTCAGTTCTTTTTTATATATAAATATACTTTGAATAAAGTATTCGTGTTGCTGAAAAGCTAGACTTTCTTTGTATGGGGACATTTTTGTCCTATAGAGGTTTTGTTGTTCAAAACCCCTATAAATATATTTTTATTAAGTGAAAATTTAATTTGATTTGACAACTCATAAAATTATTTTTCGCTTAGTAGATATAATAATTATGTTCATAAGTTCACGTTATTTACGTGTAGTTTTCCGAAAATCTATTTTAAGACTATGGCTTATTTACGAGTTATTTATAACGTTTAAGAAACATGTTTAGTTACTGACTCTTATAGAAAATTTCCGGCTTCTTTCTCGTATGGAAGTTCAAATTTGTTTTATTTTTCATAGAAAAAATATTTTTTGAATGACTTACTTTTTTGATATCTTAGAAAAGTGCTTAAAGAGCAAATATTGATTTTTGTCTAATTTCTTTTCAAGACACTACGTAAACTAGGTACTTGTTGTGATGTTTAGGCTTTATTATTAATAAAGTAAATATATTGCTTTGAACTGTTTAGTTAACTCAATGTTTATTAACTTATCTTGTCCAATTTTGCTATCTGATGTTTTCCACAATATATTTATTAAATATTAAAGTATCTATTATATTTCTCAAATATTAATTCGGCCTTAACGTTCACTTAAAAGATAAAGCAGCTAAACTGGCATTGGCGATCTTCATGCCTCATGTCTGATGAAGTAATTCCTGTATAAATATCGGTCAAAAATAGTAGATTTTAATTTAATTTTAAACAAATGTAGGTTCTGAAGGTATTCAAAAATCTTCGCTTAATATTTTAAAGATGATTAAAATTATTTGTAATCTTTAAATATAATCTTGAAATAAGACTCATTCACACGTCAGGAACAGTTTTTTAAACAAATTATCTTCACTTCTCGAGTTTTCGAATGCTAGAGAAAGTTCAAATTATTTTTGATAATTAAACCAAAAATTACATTTTTTTTGCTTTTAATTTTATTGCTTGAAATTCTAATTTGTTAACATTCTTAGAATGTTTGCGGTTCTATCACAGGTGGATTTATCTGTAGCAACAAATTAAAAATAAATTAATAAATAAGAAACAAAAAAAATTAGTAAATTGTTTCAAGGTTTATTTTTGTTTTGATTTTGGCATTTGTAGGTTGTATGAAAAATATTTACCTTTAATTATTTTGAAATACTCGTGTATTTTTTTTTAAGTTGAATGATCATTGAATAATGTACAATATATATCTATTACTTAATACAACCCTCACCTGTTTTTTTTTGGATGTTTGCATCTTCTGTCTGCAAGTCTTAAACTGAATCGAAATTCTTTTCCATAGTAGCGGGTTTAAATAGAGGCATTTCTGTGCATAATTAATGAAAATTTATAGAGTTGGATTTCGGATATTCTGATATATTCTGATATCGGATATAATGTATGATAGTCAACTAACGTTCGCTGCAATATTTAAAACGCCGATCTACAAAATAATTTTCCTTTATATATGGAGGAAAGACTTTTGTAGAGGGTTATCACTAATAGAGGGTTATCAATTTTGTGTTTCCGGAAGTGAACGTATATAAACCACACTTTTAATTAAGATTTTGATGAAATTATTGTTTTAATATATTATTGTGTTCTAGATATCTTACAGTGCTGGTTCATTTTTTATGGAGGAAAGACTTTTGTAGAGGGTTATCCCTAATAGAGGGTTATCAATTTTGTGTTTCCCGATGTGAACGTATATAAACCACACTTTTAATTAATATTTTGATGAAATTATTGTTTTAATATATTATTGTGTTCTAGATATCTTACAGTGCTGGTTCATTTTGATACGAGTATCATTGTTGATGACTTGTTGGAACCTAGTAAGCAATAGCTCCGCTATAACTTATCGGGTTGGAACTTCTTTTTTGGTTGAATTTTTTAGAAAGATAATAAAAACTGTGTGTATTTCCTAATTGAAATTATCCACAGAATTTTTTCTCACAAATAGTGAAGACTTTTGTTGTAGATTAATATAGTTAATAGATCATAGTTGTTTTAAGTTAGCTGAATATAAAATAAGTTATTGGCTATAATAAAAGCATTAACGAATCAAATAGATAACCTTTTATGAAACTGAAAATATTTCTATTTTTTATTTTCTATTTTTTATTTTCTATTTTTTATTTTCTATTTGATTTAAGTACAGTGAAAATACTTCGATAAATGTGAGAACTGATTTAAAAAAAAAAAATTATTGCAGCTGCTTTTTTCGCAACCTTTTTTTTAACAACCTACTCTATAAAAATAAATTATATAAATTAACTAGAAAAACATTTATGTAATGTGATTTAATAATTTAACAGCAGTAGGCTATTAAGGCCATAATTCGCTAATATAATATTATTAGCAATTTGTTTGATTGTTAAAGAAAAACTCTTCTAAGCTTACATAATATAGTTAATTATAAACATATAATTTATATATGCCTTATACAATATATCAATAGTAAAAAATGTAATTATAATATATAATTAAGTTTTAAATTACAATACTAAATGTTAAAAAAAATTCAGATAGGTATAAAAACAAGGAGATAAAGTCGTTGATTAGAATTTGTTTAGAATAGTCAATAATTATATGACTAAATAGATCGAAACAAATAAAGGTTCTAAGATCTTCAAAGTAATCTATTAATGCGATGAGGTCCAAAAACAATCACGAATATTCTTTAATAATTTTGATGTCAAAATACAAAAATTTTTTAACTTTATCTATGCTCTAATAAATCCCCATTTCAGATGTATTAAAGCAGAATTTAACGTTAGGATTCTTTTTGTATACTATTTATCATCAGTATAAAATCACAATGCTGTGAACTATTGTTTTCTTTACTAAACGTTTCAATATCTTATCAAATGTATTTCTTTGCTATTTGACCCTTAAAGTTCGGATATTATTTTCCATATCATATCTACATTGTTTTGGCAGCGGTTGGTTCTCTGTTACCAGCTCAGCGTGTATATAGTATTAGGACTTTTTACTGTTTTTCTTCGCTGCATGACTTGACTTTTAAAGTTCGGGTACCATCTCCAATATTTTGTGTCCATATTATTGTTATAGCCAAACATCAACCTAATAGCAAGTGCCCAGATGCACTAACTCGGAAAAGGCTCAATATTAGATAAAAGGTTAACAAGATACTATACAATAGGGTAACATGAGGAAAAGAAGGACTAAGAAATAGGTTACATGTAGGGATGCTGCATCTATAATATGTGAAAGAACCTTGCAATCTGATTGTGGCGAAGCTATAAGTCAATAGGACTTAAATTTACACTTGAGCAAAAAAAAAAGGATGAGAACATATGCTGTAGAGGTACAGTTGTGGCGTACATTGAGAATGGATTTTACTTATGTTATATATGACAAGTAATTATTTACCAAAGTAATTGTTTAAAGTAATTGCTTTATTCTAAACTGAATTGGGATAGTTCTTTTTGCCTGAGAGTAAAGTCTTACATCCCTAGAAATATTAGAACATTTTCGTGAGATAACCGTGGTTTCGAACAACACTGCTTCGGTGCTGATAGTGAAAAGTCTCAGGGACTTTAATCGTCCACATTTATATTTTGTCCCATAAAATGTTATTTATTTTGTCTTCATCATTTTGGCAGATGACCTCTTCTGGTCCCCTTGTCTTTTTCTTGTCTTCTGCTTGTCTTCTTCTTGTCTTCTTCTTGTCTTCTGCTTGTCTTCTGCTTGTCTTCTGCTTGTCTTCTGCTTGTCTTCTTCTTCTTGTCTTCTTCTTGTCTTCTGCTTGTCTTCTTCTTGCCCTTTTCATGCCCTCTCCTTGCCTCTTTTTCTACTTTCGTGCTGTACTGTTTAAAAAAATTTTAAATTTTTGGGTGTTCATTTTTGTCTTCATTGCTTTGCCAAATCGTTTCACATCTTAACACATTGCGTTTCTGGAACGTGTCCACATCAATAAACTCTTTATGATTTTTTTAGTTTTATAAAATTATTTGTTACTCCTTTAATGCTGGTATTATTTGATCTACGAGGCGTATAGGTCTAAAATTTTTGAAATGTTATATATAGTATATGAATGTTTTATAATTTTATTATGTAAATGTAAAAGTTCCAAATTACTTGCCTCGTAAAAATCGTCGCCATTTAATATGCAAATTGAGTAAATTAAATACAAATTCAAAAGCATATCATCATTAATGTAATAGTTCTAAAAATCTGTCTAAAACATTTATTATATTCCTGATTGTACAATTAAGTCTAATTAATTTTCAACTATTCATTTATAACACCAAAAAAAAAAAGAAAATAATTTAAACACACACATTTACGTATCCAATTCCATACTAAAATTATGTCTAAATTAAGCGACTAAACGAATTTCACTGAAGGACAACACATTTAACTTAATAGGCACTTAAATGCTTAAATATACATGAGAGCAGGCACTGAATGTCCTGGCGAATGAGTGTAATTGTGTTGAAATCGTTAAGAAATCGTCGCTATTAAAAGCACTTTCCGAGCACTAAGCAGCAGCGTTTAGTGCGTGTACAATTTCAATTTAAAAACATAAAACCTCATTTATTATATACCAAAAATCTATTATATGCTTTTTTTATTTTGTAAATAATTTATTGATTTATTTTATATATATTTATGTACTTTTTTTTAGACAATTTCCCTGCAACAACGTAATTTTAAACAAAAAATTGTCGCCTTGCTGAAACGCTTTAAGGCTTCTGAGGAATTGGAGGGTGATGTGAATCGCGGTACAGCTGCTTTACGAGGCGAACGTGATTTGGATGCATTATTTCAAGAGTTGGAATCGTTGTCATGTTGTGAGGGTGATGATTCAGGTCCTGATATGGACACATTATCAATTGGCTCCACACCGAAACCTTCGCTGCGTCCATTTTTCACTAATTCACGTATAATGTTGCACGACAATGGCGGTACTGGTAAGTTCAAAACTCTTTATATACCATATTGTACTTTGTATAAATTATATTACATTAAATGATACATACATTTTTTTGAAAAGTATTGAAAAGTTTGTTGCTTTTTATTATTATTATAATTTATACATAAGTAGGACTTCGAACGTTTCTAATATTGATTTTTTATTTTTATATTATTGGTATTTTAAAAGTTTTGACTTAATTTTTTATTCAAGTTTTTATTTAAGTTTTTATTTAAGTTTGTTATTTTATATATATATGAGTAGACGTGAAATTCTAACATAAATTATTAGAGAACTTTTTATTTTTCTAATATTTAGTATTGAAAGCAGTGTAGTGAGTTCTAAAGTTCATAAAGTCAATCACTTAAAGGATTCAACGACATTGTCTTATAACCATAAATTATTTTATATGTCTTCAATTTGTTACTATCGCCATAACAAATTTTTACTGAGTGTATTTAGTAAATAGTTTCTTTTTTTTTTTTAATGAGAATAAATATAATACTATAAGTATTTACTACATACTTTCTTTTCTTGTACATGAGTACAAATATAGGTTCAGATATTAGTGTGAAATTTTTAAAATCCCAAATAATTTAAGGTTCCATATAAAATATGTTTTCTTCCTTGAACTAAACCACTAATAAATTTTATTAAGTTTAGTAGAATATAAAATATTGTGTTTTTAATTGTTTTTTGAATTACTGCCAAGCACATTTTTCATGTACCTACAATCTCTAAAAGTTAATAGTACCTTTTAATTGCCATGTAAAATATATTACTCAATAAAAAATAATTTATGCAAATTGATAGTAAAATTTGTGTGTTTACCGTTTCTAAAAAGAAAATAATACCTAAGAGAATTAGATAAGGCAGTAAAATTTATTGCAATATTGGCAGAAATAATAAATATAAATATAGTATATAATTCATTACAAACCAAAACAAAAAAACAACGAAGTTATTTGTTTTTATTAAACTTGAAAATAAATTCGTTGAGAATTATTTTATATTTTTAGGTTATTTATAATATATGTGAATTTGTATATTAATATTATAATATATGAATAATATACTATATATATTATTATATATAAGAGTGAAATTAATTGGAGATGATGAAAATTTTGTTCTTAATCGTGAAAGATCTATTCAAAGATACTTTAACAAAAGTATCTTCAGCTCGACAATAGATTTTAGTAGTGTTAGTTATTTTGAGCAACTTTTTCTCTATGTTGATATGGCTCAGTTCTGTAGAATACATATACTTTTATATACTTTGTATATTGCATACTTTGTATATTATATACTTTGTACATTGTATGCTTTGTATGTTGTATACTTTGTATATTGTATACTTTTTTTATCGTTACTCTAACAACAACTAGACACATCGTCTAGTTCAAACTACTTCATTTTACATTAATTATACTAACAATGTCTAACAATAAGTAGTCGCGCCATCTGGTGATTCTCATTTACATATCTCCAACTTTAAACAGCGATATCTCGAAAACTATATGAAAGCTGTGTTAACATATAGCATAGTAAAAAAATTGTTGCTCAACATAGCTATCTTCGTTAAAATCCTAGGTCCAACAGTTAAGGATACAAAGAAATCTTTTATAAAAATTCATATAAGGTCTACTCAAGCAGTCTTATAAAAAAGAGTATGATCAAAAAATCCCTTTCTTAATTAATGTCACTTTATCAATAAATATTTTATATTTTTTATTATGTATATTCTAAAATAGTTACAAAAATAATTTTTGCATTTTGCTGTAATTTACTAACAGTAACAGAAATTGAATTTTAATTAATAAAATTGAATTAATCAAAGTTATATACCAAGTTATATTTTGTTTATAAATATATTAATATTATTTAATTACTAATTAGACATTTTTTTTTTGTTTTATATTTGAAATTAATAAGAATAATTATTATTATTTTGATTTTGTACTTAATTTTGTGATTGAAATTGCATGGCTTGAATAATTTCTTTTGCAGGCAACTTTGAACGCAGATCATCGGATAAAAGCGACCAATTGACCAATTCGTCTTACAATATTGAAAATAACAAACAAAAATGCATTCATTTAACAAACAATAATAATTCGGCAACAACACCAGGTCTGTGTAATTTCATACAACAACAAAATTACAAATTAAAGAATGAAAAATCTTTTACTATTTATAAATTATAAAAAATTTTTCTTTCTCTTTTATGTTTTCTAACTTTTTCAAAATTTTCACAAATCAATTAAATTGATTAAACAAAATTACTTATAATTTTATACACTTAACACTATTGTACACTGCTAAGTTTGTTGTTTTTGTTTTTGTTTTTTATTTGTGCATATAATTCCTATAAGTAAAAAAAAAATTTTTTTTCTTTCTTGTACATATTTGTATCTTAAGTTGACTTCACATCACTTTAAATGTTACTCCAGCAAACCTCATCTTCTTATTTTGCTACCAATTACTTTCACTATTTTTTACACCCACTGTACTCTACCGAACACTAAATGAATGTTTGCTCCCACCTACCGAACCAATCACTTTTTTTTACAAAATCCTATCACTTTTATCTGTTGAAAGCTGTTTCATTTGCTAATTAGAGTAACCGGTAACCAACCAACCTCTACAAATGCCTTCAACTATATGTGTAGTTAGTTGTGCTCTATTTGCCTATATATATATAACATTTAATCCTTACTATGTGAGATACTAATATATAACATACTAGTACTATGATTATGATTATATGTAGTGTTGCATGATCTTCTATTATATTTTAACATTATTATATAAATAATTATACAAAAAGATATACAACATTTATAAGACTATATGAATGAATTATTTATTCATGAAGGATCCCAATGCAAACTTTTAACTATATTTTATATATTTTTTGGTTTTATATTTTATAATAGTGATTGTTATATTTAACAAATTTTTATGTTCAACGAATTTTTATATTTAACGTACACTAATTAAGATTGTTGGAAATTATTGATTTTGTTGTAGTAACATCATTTCTCTTTAAGGTAAAAAGAAGGGAAGACTCTTAACATATCCAGACGCTCGATCTTATCATAATAAATATTTTTTCCATTAGACTCTTCTCGATTTTTGTAAAATATCTGAAACTATTTTTAGTTCATAGAACAATTGCATATATATGCAATTAATATTCAATTGACTAGAAACCTTGCCACCTATGTCACGCCCCTGCTTTCTGGCTTAGATAAACATAGTTTTTTTGATATTAGCCTAAATTACTCAAATGAAGTTTCCACATTGCAGTGAAAATCCTCTCCACTCATTACTTAGAGGTGGTTTTAGTGGGTTAAAGACATACAAGGGTAAGATAAATAAAATTATTATATCTTTGTAGTCAGTATATAAACAAAAAAATAAGCGTTACCATATTATTCGAAACATCTGTAAGCAGAAGAATTCACTTCATTGAAAACAAATTTTTATTTTTATAAAAATACTTCTTCATTATGAAACTTTCTCTATACGAAAATAGATAATTTTGTCATTAATGACATTAAATTACTTAAATATATAATTTTTCCAGACATTTTTTAAAGGGGTCAATTTTTTTTCTGATTATCTCTATCTTTGCTACACAATGTCGTTGTTGTGTAACATAATAAAGACGAGTGAGGTATATGTTGAAATAATTGATTTGTCCCAACTAATTAGGTTAGATTAGGTTATACCGGCAATCCTAAAGAGTTCCACTCAGACCTATAAGGCCATTGTACTACCGTATTATTAAAAAAACAAAGGTTAAAACCATTTAGAACCTTTGGTAAAGATTCAAGTCTCATCTAATTATAATGAGAAAAAATACTGTGACGGTCTATAAAGCTATAGGTAGTTTCATTGTTAAGTACGCTGTTTAGTGTGAATAATCTTATATATGATTTATTAAGAATAGTATTGTCAAGTTCTGAACATAACAAACCAAAAATAACTATTATCTTAACAATTTTATCCATAGTGTGTTCTAAAAAGAAGTTCCAACAACAAAACTACTCTCACAGTTCGTACCTTTTTGCAATAGTCGCTTATATAAAAGTCTTTTACATAAATAAATATGTCTTCATATGGATTAACAAACTCTAACTAAATATGCAGATCGAAAGATAACATCAGTGACTCAGATCCTGTTTCAAGCGATTAGTTTAAAACTCTACATAAATAGTAGTAGAACATCCAGAAACACACTATTATAGTAACACAATAATAACTAACTATTATTATGCTTTGCCTTTATATACTTTGCCTTTGTCTTAATATAGGTCAGGATTTTATGAAAAGATTCGCAATGTTGCAATTAAATCCGTTCCAAATGTATGCTTTAGCTACAATCTAGCTATCTACACTCGTCAAGCTGTTCAATTGTTCATATCTAGGACCATTACTAAGACTATTTAGTCTCTGATTTCGCCATACTTTAGTGAGAAGTTTGAATTAGGTCTACATATTTGGCTCAACTACATCACAATCAAGTCTCTGTTCAATCCCATCTTACTGAATTTTATATATATAAATCTTTCCCCCGATATTAAGGCTTAATGCTAAAGCCAGCTGGTTTCGAAAGTAGAACTAGTAGAATTTTATTAGGAAATATTAGAGATGAAGTTTTTTAAGTTATCCTACTGAATTGAGTTCAAAAGTACATACTTATCGAATTTCTATATCTAGGAAATATAGATAAAGTTCTCTATAAATTTTCTCTACCAATTCTAAATCTAAAAAAAAATCATTTTGATTGCTAGATTAAATAATAACGAATAAAACTTTGTATATTTGTGGTGCCAGTAATATTGTTCCTTAGTAAATTTATCATTGTCATCGATACGAAATTACAAGTGTTAAAATACAATCTTTCATAATTGACCGCAAATAGCAGCACATCCGTGCAAGTACGTATATAGTAGTTTCGTGTATCTCAACTTAACCGCAGTGTTAGCGTATGCTTCAGTCACCCTTCGTCGTTGTGTTCAAGTACAAGTATTTTTGTCTCGAATTCATGTGCGAGCGAGTATCTTTCTTATATCTTATAAACAAGTGATTAATTGCATTCAAATGGCGGCATTCCCAAGCAACATGTGATTTCGTTGAAATAGTTTTTCAGCTTGAGATAAAAATTTTATTTTATTTTCCAATATTTTTATTGCTTGCACCCTTTTTTTGGGCCAAACTTTTGTGGCATTGTGCAGTCTGTTGCACTTCACTCTTGACATTGTTTCTTGTATTTTATATTTTGTATATTGTATTTTGTATCTTGTATCTTGTATCTCGAATAAAAGAAAAGCACATTCCACTTTTTTACACGTTTAGCTGCATCATTGTTTCCTAGTGCATTTTCTTGGGCTTTGTTTTTTCTTTTCTGTATTTTACAATTTATTTTAATCTTTTTTTAGCTTTCGTTTTCTATGGCGTTGTGGTATTTTCAATTATTTGACAAGAAAATTTATAACAAAAAAGCCATGATTTATGCATTTGCATGTTCACAGTATGCATTTTTTCCTTCTAAAAAATTTATGGTGTGCATTTTGTCGTTCGAAGGTTGTATGTTTTAAAATTAATTAATCTCAAGATACTTGCATACATATTAGCTTTTAGAATGCACTTTTCAATATTGGAATAGCTGAAGTCTATTGTACAATTTTTATCATCATTTTTATTATTAAACTTTTGAATAGCTAATTTATATACTAAAAATTTTTGTATCTATGTTTTTAATTATGTCATTTTGAGTGAACAGATGGACACTTGTATCTACAAGCAAAATTATAGATATATATTTTTCTAACATAATATCTAAGTACACTATTGAAGTTAATTACTATATTTATTGTTAAAAATATTTTACATAATTATATATTTATATATTAATGTACAAAAATAATACGTCTAATAATAATTATCAATCATTAGAATAAGAAAAATACTGAATAAAAATACCAAATAAAAACTTGTAAAGAATTGAAGTCTGGAAGAACTGAGGTCAACTCTTTAATGAATATATATTGTGCTGCTAGAGAGGATTCGCTACTACTTGAAATGATACTTAAAATACATTCTCTAATAATATTCATGTTTAATTCATTTTTACTCTTTAATAGCTGAGGGGTTTCTGCAGAGTCCCACCCTACTCACTGACAGGTTTTATGTATTTGTCAAAAGCTTCGTGATTATTCGATCACTAATCTAAGATCTGCGTACTGCCCCGTGCGGCTATAGATTATTCTGAGATTAGATAGTGCTAATTAGGGCGGCCTGTCGGTTATCGGAAATAGCTTCACGGCTATGTCCCTTATGTATTTTTTGACCAGGTTTCTTAGCATGTCATTTATGCGGATGTATCAAAATACTTTAAAGAGTCTTCGTACAGCCTGACTTTGTGCAAATTTTAATATAATGCTGATAACAGTGAGTCTACTAATGATTAATGTTATAATATTAGGTTAAATTTAAGATGTATTTAATGAAACTATTCTGTTGTTGTTGTAGTTCAAGTAGTTTTCTCCTTTTCGGTAATCAAGTAGACTACTTTTGTGTCTCTTCTCTTATGAATAGTTCAACTTCAATGGTTGTTGTGAGAGTCAATAGGGGTTATATATAAAGAGGGACTTCAAGACATATATATACATCCGTTCTGAAATAATTCTAATTCCTTTTATATTGGAATAACTTTAATTAACCCAAAAAAGGGCGAAATAAATTTAATTTTATTCAAATTTTACTAATTTTTATCTCTTTGAGTTTTATAGTATAAAATTTATTTACAGTTTCATGATTTAATCTTTAATAGAAACATTTTTTAAATATTCCCTAATCTAAGCATTTTAGGAATGTTCTAACTCAGAAAACTATTAGTTTTCAGAAAAAGACTGATATTTACTATTCTCATAAGCTTCAAATACCACTATTAGGTTCTTATTTTTTACAAAATTATATGTTACAACTACTATCAAATCTATCACTGTCTCTTTTACTTTCCTTGTACTTTATTCAATAATCAATCTCTCTGCACTATTTTAGAGACCTATTATAGACTTATTATTCTATTATCAGTAGCTTTTAAAACTTTGGCTTCCAGACTGCGCTTTCTTCACTCACATAGGGCCTTCATCTTATAGATTTTTGTCTACGACTATTAGAAATTCTTTAACCCATTGATTATTTACGTTAAATGCATGCTGATGTTAGTAGATTGATTTTGAAAAACTTAATTTATATTTTATATATTAAACCCTTTTTTAGACAAATACTTAATAATATATTTAAATATATAAATTAATTATAAATATAGTTATAATAAATAAATCAAATATACTTATTTTTTGCATGTTTATCTTATTTATTAGACAGCCTACGTTTTTTTTAAATTTCTATTATTAAAATATTTTATTTTCCAAATATTTTATACAATTTCACAATAAAATTTTTTTAAACGATGTCTGACGATTTATTGCAGATCGTGGTATAGAATATCGCAACGATAGTTCTGGAAATGAAGGTAACACATTTAATATAGATGGCCAATTCTCCGACTCGCAAAATAGTCCTCCACGTACTGAAAAAGATTATATACGCTTACAACAGCAGCAATCACACCAAGTAACACCCAATAATTCCAATTTCAGTGTTAGTAGTGCAGTAATAACACAACCGCCCAGTGAAAAACGCTCTCGTCTATTTCGCACTTCAAGTAATACGCCCAGTGGTACCAGTGGGGGTAAAAAGAAACAGACTCTTAGTTTAAGCGCAGAACCGCGCTCAGTATTAGAGACATGCCTGTCTCCAACTAATGTAGAACCGCGTAAAATGCTTTTAGATCAGATAAGTAAGGAATTCTCCAGTGAAGATGCTGTCATACCTGATGTGGTCACGATTATAACTCCACCAGAGGCATTAAGTGGTAGCAGTTTTATACCAAAGCTTACAACGATTTTTGCAAATTCATTTAAACCATCGTTTGTACCTCAAAATACAGCGGAGGTGAAAGCAGTACTACAGGCGCTTATGGTGAAAATCCAGAAATAGTAAGTAACTCATTCATAGTAAGACCATTTAAATAATAAATAATTGTTCAATTCTTTAATAATTTCAGTTGTAATTCCAATGCAAAACCACCAAATACAGTAAAAATATTGCTTATTGGCGGTGATTGGCTGCAAGGTGCTGCACTGCGGCATTACGTTGAGCTGATGGGCGTGAGACCACCAGATTGGCTCAATCATTTACGTTTTTACATTGTGCCGATTGGTAGCAGTGCTATTGCAAGATATCTAAGTCAAATGGATCAAGCATATGGTTCCATGTTCGGCACTGAAAATTGGTATCAATTGTGTGAACGTGTGGCTGTTACAGCCGCTGCTGTTAGTGCAGTGACAACGGTCAATGCAACCGCACTCACGTCTTCGCTCGCTGATAATGCTAATGCAAATAAGTTCAATATAGTGGATTTATTGATACGTATACAAAAATATTTACAAGCGGCCGGACCCTGTGCTCAAATACCAATTGCGGAAGCTATGGTCAATTATAAAGATGAAGATTCTTGCCAGATTTTTGTGCCATTCATTTCGGTAAGATACATAATAACAAAATTTAGTGTTGTTTTTTAATTATTCAATGGTTTTTTTTTCTGCCATATAGGATGTGCGCATTGGGTACCTAGAAGGTCCACAAGCTTCACTTGATCTCGAAGAAAGTATGACTCAATCTACAACGAGTGTAGCACAACAAACAAGTGCTACCAGTGCAATTCCAATTGGAAATTCTGCTTCCACAACTATGATTGGTGGTGGTAATATTATGAGTGGAAATGGTTCTCCACCGCAAAGTGGACGTATTACACCACCAAATCAAACACCACCATCATCAGCAACATCACAACGTGAACGTATAGGTGATAACTTTGGTACACCACAACAGATTAATGTTGTACAAGTTGAACCAGTAGAGCTGCAAGTTGACTACTGGCCGATTCTAAGACATAGTGATCATTCTATTAAGGATAAGAGTGTCACGCGAAGTGGTGATCAGGGTGGCAAAAATAGCATTAAGAGTACATTTAGAAATCTACAGGTATGGCGTTTGCCGCAAAATGCTCAAATTGGTGAAATGTCTAGTGGATTGACTGTTAGTTTTGCGACTAAGGAAAAGAAACAAAAGCAAAGTAAGTTTTAAATTCGAAAAAATAAATTTCATTTTATTTAATTAATACTTTGTTAAAAATTGTAGTTATGCGTTTGGGCAAGAAAAAGGAAAAAGATCGTGATCTCGAAAAGGAACAATGTGTAGAAGGTGTTGCACGTTTAATATGTTCTCCAAAACAATCTCATCCAGTACCATTAAAAGGTTAGTTGAAACAGTATTTAGAAAAAATATAACTATAATTAAAGATGCTCACGAATTGAGTGTAATTCAAAAATGATTGATTCTTTCGAAATTGTATATTCTATAAAATTATTTTAAAGTGTTATAGAAGTGCTTGAGAAAAGGGTATTCTTTTGATTTCTTTATTATATTATTAAGAACACTAATTATTATCATTTTCGAAAATATTCTAATTTTCTTTGGGTATTCTCCATTATTATTTGAATATTCCCCATTATTATTCAAATCTAATTATTAATTTTCAAATACTATCTATTAAATTTTCTGTGACTACATCCATACGTTTTTGTAGTATGTACTTACTTACTTATTTTTATATTATCATATTATTTCTTTTAAATTTAACTATAATAAAGTGTTATCTATTTCGTGGTCATTATTTGGCTAAACTGTTTCACTGGCAGTTGTATAATTTATGGTTAGATGTTTTATTATATGGACCATTTATGGATATATCAATAAACCAAATTGTGGTATCTGGGTCAGTAAAAATCCAGTTACTTGTGGATTGTCGAAAGACCAATGTATATATGAGAGACCCACATTAGTTTGAAAATGATGATGATGTGATAAAACCGTAAATTCTGATCGCTACGGCTACATAATTTCCATTTCGCTTTGATGTGAAATGGAAGGTATGTGATTTCAATAGGACGTTATCACAATCCATACAATTCCTTCTGCTTCCTCTTTGTTGCATTAAAAATTTCCCGAACCTGTAGTATCATGTTTTGGTGATTTGAGCTAGTTGCCAAGTTCCTGAAATATGTCACTACTGTACTTGTTTTGTAAGATTACTTAAAAAAATACTTATAAACTGATTATTCTTAAAATATCACACTTAGAAAACGAATTTTCGCCAAGTTATTGCCGAATTACTACCATTTATTTGGTGACAAGTCACTCATAATTCTTCTAACTGGATTTAGTATTGTAAGATGTCACTTAGATGACGTAAAAATAGATTTGCATTCCATACCTTATGCAAAAATCTGAACAATATATTTTTATGAATGACACTGAATGTTTTTAATATTACTATCTTTCTAAATTTTCTATACATTAATATCAATAAATCAATAAATAAATCAATAAATAAATATCAATAAATATAAAATAATATTTAAGTAGGAAATCTTACAAAATTTAATTAATTAATTATAAATCAAATTTTTAATTCATTTAATATTTTTCTCATTGCAGTATATATCGATGGCACAGAATGGACTGGTGTTAAATTCTTCCAACTATCATCTCATTGGCAGACGCACGTTAAAAATTTCCCAATTGCCCTAATTGGACATTTGCAATTTCCTTGCGCTGAAATATCCTAGTCATTTTAATTTAGTTTTAAAATCAATATGAAAAAGGGAAAAATACATCACAAAAAAAAAGAACAAAAAACAAAAAAAAATTTAGTATTGATGTGAAAAAGTTTTAGTGTTAATTCTTAATTATAAATGTTGAAAAATATTTGTTTTACAACTATGCAACAACTTAAATTATATTTTGTAAATTATTTTTAATAAATGTAGTAACTTTAACTATGTTTAAAATCGCAATTCTACTTATTTTAAAAATACGTAGACAATTACATAAATTACATATTTATATAGAATTATACCCGTATTTATAATATTTAATCGTACAGTAGCATAAATATACTCATATAATTATTAACCCAACGTATCGTTATGAAATGTAATGTTCATGGCGCCATTCAGTGTAGCGTAACTTAACCCAAACGAATTTCATATATAAATGTTATTAATAAATTAAGTATTTTCAATTTTTACAAAAAAAAAAAAAACAAAAAAAAATTAATTAGTCGATAAATAGCCACAATATTATCTTAAAATATCTGTAGCGTTTAAAAGTTCTTAATAATTAAAATCTACTTCTACTCCATAACTAAGCCGAATGTAATATATATATTTATACATATATATAATTATTTAAATATATATATATTAATCTAAATATATATAAAGTTTATCAAAATGTTAAATATATAAATGTATTTTGTAGGAATTGTTGCTGAAAACGGCACATTTTATATGTGATTTTGTATGAAAGAAAAATTGTTTTGTTCAAGGAAGTTTCAAAATGTATTCGAAATTAAAATAAATGTACTTTAAATGTTCCCAAGAGTTGGTTACTAGTAAAGCTCAGTTAAATAGAAAAAGAAATTATTATGAAAATAATCATATACGAGTATACATATATGAATATATATATATATATATATATATGAAATAATAAAACGCGCATTCAAAAAGCAACAATAAAAACTAATATAAAATATATAAAAATTTATATATATACACTTCTATATATATATTAAAAAATATATTGTAATTGCTTGTATTTATATTTAACTACCAAAATACGAGTTTAATTCTTTAACTCTAATTGTTGTGATTTTAATTAAATTTTATTAAATAAAATTATATTATATAAAATAAAACAAAAATAAAGTTAAATAAAATTATTATTACATATAAATATAAAAATTAATAATGCATATATATTAATATTTGACTAATTATATATAAAATTTTCTATAGTACATTATTACCAGTTATTACATTTTACAAAAATATATATCTAATATACATTTATCACATATATACAATACATATGCAGATGTTAGTTTGTAGTTAAATAATTAAAATGAAAATGGTTGATTTAAAATGATGAAAATTATTAATATTTAGGCAAAAAAAAACATCAAAATATGAATTAAATTAAGCATATATAATTTATTTATTAAGAAGTATATATATTTAATTTAAACAAAAAAAAACCAAAATTAATATCAGAACTTACACTCTCATATAAAAAGACTTACAAATATATAATATATAAAAGAACTTTTTGTTTATTTTTTATTTCTTTATTTTTGTTGTTATTTTCGAATTTATGTCCCAGCTTTGATAAAATTAAAAATTTTAAATTTTATGAAGATAGTATGTACTAAAATATTTTATTCGATTTCATAAATATTACTAAAAGACTTTGTCACTCATAAATCTTTTTTTTTGTTAATTTGGTTCGGTTAGAAATATCTTAGGTATATATTTTTATTTGAATAGTTCAACACTAATATAAATATTTCAATAATTAAAGACAGTTTTCTTTGATTTGTTTGAAAATTCTTAACAGTACTACTGTGACCATAGTTCGCATAAATTTGGGATGTAAAATAATCTTAAAAATAAACGGAAAACAAGAGGGAAAAACTTACACGAAACAAGAGATTAGAATGGAAGGTACAAAGGATATGTAGAAGTATTGAGACTCAGCTGGTTTCTGATGAGGAAATATCACCACTTTGACGAAATACCACACTAATTTAATAGGAGTTATTTAATGTTAAATTTTTTTCGTCAAAAGTAATGTGTCTTATGACGAAAAGAAACTATTTTGAAAGTTAGAAGGATTCGAATAGAAATTAAAAGACAACAACAAAATGTTTAGTTAATTTATTGAAGTTTGGCTGACCATACATCATTAGGAAATATTTATATTTTAAAATTAGTTTATAGTCTGTATAAAATTTATTTAGACTGCAAGTGCCAGGTTTAGAACTCGCGGCTGTCAAATTAGAAGTCTGGGCCTTGCAGTCCAAATAAATTATTAAAATTAAATAATTCGAATGTTTCCTAAGACAACTGATGACAGCCAAACTTTAATAAATAAACCAAAATTTTTGTTGTTACCTTTTTATTTTTATTTGAACCTTTCTAATAAGAGTTATTGTAAAGAAATGAGTTTATGCGTAACAAGTGATTGTTTAATATATAGCTATGTCTGAAGCTTAACTGAGTTACGATAGTTCTGTTCAGTTCAGTGTTTCAATGTATGGAACCGTTGATTTGGTCCAAATATATTCTTCGATATCTAAGCAATTTGTTCGGTTCGGTAACTTTTAGTCTTCGCACTAGCGATTTCAGACAGCATCTGCAAAGTATCAAATATTGCTAGATTTAACTAGCCTGGAAAGTAGGAGGTTTCGGTTGAAAGTCAGGATTGTCATATTTTTAGACGATAATATGCTGATTTCTCGAATTACTATTATATATTATGCTTTCCACAGGAATTAATAAGTAAGCGTTTTTTCTGTCTTACTTAAGAAACTGGCTTTACGCACAAAATATTTCAAAATAGTGATCTAAAGATTGCTCGAAGAATGCACATATCAAAACTTACGTGTGACATAGCACGTATACAATCAGAAAACCATAGTGTGAATATTATGTTTAGCGTGGACTTGCTCGCCCTCGACAGTCCAACACAATCACCGTATTGATGGGCTGTTGCAGTTGTGGCTTATTAGGAAAGGAAGAGACTCATCTAATCTGTCATTATTCAATACTCAACTGAAGGCATTCATCCACTCTAGTCTTAATTTCTGAAGTATCTATACAAATATAGGAAGTTGCAAATATAGGAATTAAGGACCGATTTATTGAAATCATAAATTAGCCACCCACGGGCTCCCATTGGTTACTACTATCAATTTCAGCACCTTAAAGAAAATTAGTTCGTTTTAATATTGCAGTATTTAATATAAAAGAAAAGTTATATTATTTTGAGAGCGTTTAAGTAATAAATTTTTCATCATTTAAATATGTTGTTAATATATCAATGCAATAACAGATATATATGTTATTCTTATGATTCCTAACTTAAAGAAAACTACGTATAATTTTCAGATGTAGTATTTCTATCAGAACAAATGCATCTTGTAATCGTTGAAAAAATATTCTTCTTTATAGTCGGTTATTAGTACACGGGATAATTAATGATGGATTTTTGGATAGTAATATATAAGACCTATATTCTATTTCTAATAAAAACTAAAACCATTATCTAAAATTTAATCTATTGTTATTTTTCTACTTGAGACCTTTAAACTTTTTCAAAAACGGAGCACCATTAATAATGTAAATTCAATATGAACCACCAAATATTGAAAGTTCTGTAATAAGGTTGGTTATATATTTTAAGTTTAAGTAAGGTTATAAAACACTGGAGAATTATATCGAGTACGAACGACTTTAATATAAACAAATGAAGAACTGCGATTTACGTAGAATTTTTACGACGTTCAGTTTTGGTGTTTAGATTGAAGTCAATATTCTTCGGATTTTTCATAGTTTTTATAGAGCTAAAATATAACTGAATACCATTTATGAACATCACTTAAAATATAATTGTCTAGTCAGTTACGACTTAAAAATTCATTTGACAAAAGTATGTGTTAGGAAGTATAATTTTTGGGTAACAGAGTTACATATAAAACATTAATTTAGACAAATTTCTTAATATTTATATTCCGATTCAATTATTATTTATTATTATTTTATTGTTACAACAATTATTTGCAAGTTCATATAAATTCAGTATTTATTTCACTTATCATACAATTTATGCTTATTTTAACTATTTAAGTAAACTAAGCGTAAAATTGAATTAACAATAAAAAATGTATTATTAATTAAAAAAATAATATTTATTATTAATGAACAAAATAATACAATTGATCACTAATTAACAAAATAAAATAAAATTTATTATGATTAAAAAAATATAATAATTACGTTAAAAAATTATTTAATTCCAGTTTTTTAATTTTTATAATAACAACAATAAGTATTTTTATCGCGATTTCTTTAAAAAATATATATATATATTGAAATAAATTATGCATATTTATAGTGTGGAATTTTCAATTATATCGTTATAATAAATCAAACAATAAATAATTTTAAATATAATTTTTTCATATGATATGCAAACATTAATTATAAGATATAAATTATGTGATTGACTGAATTTTGGAAATTAGTGGGAAATTATATTTTAAAAAATATTACATAAATTGTGTAGTATTTCCAGTAGATTTTAATTTTAAAATATAAAATTAAAGATAACAAAATTATCAAAAATCAAAAATTAAAATCTATTTGGATATAAAAATTAAAAATATTTACTTGCTGTGTAATTATTGTAATTATTAGAAATATACTAATAACAATAACATATATCATTAAATATAGAGTTACAATAATTCATAATTGTTTTATTTTAAAAAAAATACCAGTAACAAAGAAGATTTAAATTAAATATTAAATAATAAATATGATTTTAGGCAAATAGATTACAAGTGACATAAGTTTTTAATTTAAAATTTTTAAATTAAGTAGGTATATTTTTAAAGTAGTGGTTTATACTATATTAGCAAGAGTTTTAGGGTTCCAAATTTCATTAAAATTCATCTGACACAAAAATTTATTCATATGTACTTTGAATTCATTTTTAAAAAATCTCTCTTCCGACGTCTTTGATACGCCGGAAAATGTATAAAAAATTGTCATTATTTTTTGTTAGTAAATTTATATTAATTATATATATTTAGTATATATATAAACGTGACAATTTACATAAGTTTGAGGTAGATTCATATCAACAGTTGTTGTGACTTAAGTTAAAATTATACATTATTTTTGTCACTTTATATATAACTATATTATTTTATAATTAGAACGAAAAAAAAATTATTTCATGGCAGCTTTATGAGTTTTTGCGATAATCCTTTCACTATAATGGCACGTTCATTTAAGCCTAAGTTACCGGCAATTCCTCCAGGTGGTATTAAAAATGTACAATCTGGGTGAGCTCGAGGTTGCTCAAATTCCCGTAAGTTAGCATTGCTTTTACTTAATTCTTCTAAAGACCACAGACCCACTGAATTCGTTTTTCCATGACGAGCGAAAACATAAAACTGAAAAATGGTAAACGATATAGTTAAATAGTAAACATTATAGTAAAATCATATTTTAAAGCGGATTGAAAAAAGTTTTGAGTGCGTATACTATTTGTATATTAATTCTAAAATAATTCCATAATCAAATTTCTTAATATTATCAATCGGACAAACTAACCTTATCGTCTTTTGTTATCAAGAAACCAATTATTAAAGCCCAGTGCGCCTTATGTCCTCTCAATAAACACGGTTCATGGTTGAAGTCAGCATCATAGCTAATTTAATTAAAGTTAAGGAATCACTTCTCGTAATATATTAAATAAATATAATAAAAAATTTGGCAAGACACGAATGCAATCCCTGGTATTTGCAGTATCAAAAAATTATTTACGAATAATTAAATACAAGAAATATTTCCAAAGACCACTGATGTTGGGTTTTTGGCAATACTCGAAACAGATGTATGGGCAGCCGAAAATTCAATTAATTAAAATAATATAAAAGTTGTTGTCTTTTTATAAAAAAATTATATTAAAGACACAATTTATCTTTTAAGTTGAATTATTTATTGTTAATTAAAATTAGTTTTTAAAACAGTTTTAAGATAGCAAAAAAAAAAACATATATTTTAACCAACACGCATTGGCGGTGAAACTAAAATGACACCATCTCCTCTCACAAATAGCATGGGAATATTCCGTTTGGTTGTTTTATATACTTCCTCGTAGGTTTCCTCATCGATTTCCACTGTTGTTACCGTTTCCTCTGCGTCACCCAACACCATATTTAAATGTTGATCAAATGCCTGAAAGAAGATGAATTATTAAACACAATTATTGATATATTTTTTATTATTGGAAGTATTCATTAAGTCCATGTGGATACGTGGAGTATAGTGAGATTGCCAAATATATTATGAATAAAATTCAAACCTTCCAAACCAAAGAGAATAGTAGAAGATTGTTGGAATTTCAAAAATAGAAATATTAAGAGATGTCTACGATTTAAAATGGTAAATAGTACAGTAAAGTAAATACATTGCTACTTTTAGAAGTGATATCAAGACTCCAAACACCAACACTGTGTGCTCATCCTTGTAAAAAATTCAAAGAAGTTCTGTGAACGAAGGTAAATGTGTTCCCGTTTGGACAATTTATAAACGAAACATGACAGAATATTTTAACATCAAACTCGATACATCTTAAGGTTTGTGTGGATGGTAGATACTAATCGCAATTCCTATCATTTCGATGTGGATCTTTTATATTTTAAGAACTGGACCTATAGCAATACCAATGTCAGTTGGTATTATTGAGATGTGACTCACTTGTGCTCAAAGGACTGGACCTATTTCAATATCAGTTGTAAGGCACATTAGAAATCAGTCTATCGTTTAAATAAAACATGCGATGGTAATAATGTCTACAGTAGATACCAATACCCAGCTTGTATCATTGAAAAGTGACTTACTCATGCTTTAAGAATTTGATGTTTTGGGATTGCAGTTTTTCAAGAAATTTATCTATCGTTTTAATAAAAATATTACGAAGTCATTGATGTCTATGGTAGATACCAATACCACCTCGTATCATTAAAATGCTGCCCACATTAATTAATATCTATAGTAGATGGGATTTCACTAAATTAGATGAACATCTGTTTGCGTATGCCCTGCAGTGACAGTGTAGATAAGTAGTGCCTTTCTTGATCAGGGATTCTTGGTGTACAAAGCTGCCATTCCAATCTAATCTAAACTATTGTTTCCTTTTCCAGCTACAGTTATGATAGCATGATTTGTTTAACAATCATTTTATTATTTTTAGGCATTGATAAAGTGCCGGTAGATTTATTAGAGTTGCATTTGCTATTTGTAACTACATTCACGTGTTTCACAATTGCAATAATAATTAATAAAATTGACTTACATGCAAACGTCCACGTAACTCCCTTTCATTGCGCATTTTAACATAAACCTTTTCATCCAGACTCAACCGTATCAGATCAAGTGGCTCTTTAACGGGAATGACTTGAGCCTGCAAATAAATCAATAAAAATAAGTTTACCAAATACTAAATACAATTTAGTATTTACCTGTTCTTCTTCAGTTGCCATTATACTATCAAATAAATAAATAAATATTAATTTAACAAAATATTTATGAAAAAAGCGCAAAATCGGCGTAATGTTAAAAATAACACAAGGTATAACCACAAAAGCGTAAATGTCAAAACTGACAACTGCACGAAGTTGGCAGCACTTTTTCGATTGGCTTTGTTTAGCTTTCCCTGCACGTAAACAAAGCACAGCTGATGTTTATTTTTAAAATAATTAAAATCTTAACACACATTTTAAAAATAGAACTGTGTATAATTTTAGCACACACGCAATATTTACACTTAACAAGAACTTAAATACTTATTTTAAGACCGCACATTTAGTGAAATTATAAATTTAATGATGTTGAAAAGGATACGGCACAAGTAAGCAGGCACCTTCACTTAGTGCATCTCTGATATTGGCACAGTTTAGGCGACCTTCGTGTAAGCAACATTCAAGTGCTTCCGCATTGTTGTTATTTTGTGGATTGGCCTTGGTGTCACGCAACAGCTGATGTAAGTAATGTGCACTGAACATTTCTCCATTGTTTGAGAAACCTAATTCATGTGCGGACTTTAATAGCTCTTCAGCTGTTGGATCTCCATTCAATAACATACTTAGCGCAACCAGACCACATGTTGGTCCACTTTGTTTAATACCTTTAATATCACGAAATTGGCACTGTTTTGGTGGTTGTGATTCGCAAATGCGGGCAAAAAAGCAAGCACGAAAAATATCAACATCGCAAGCGGCCCATTCATATTTACGTGCTGCATCTAGCAAAGGATGTGATGCAAATTCGTTTGACATGTTTATAATTTAATTTAAATAACAATTTTATTCACAAATTCAACACACATCCAAATCGCAACCACTTATCACAAATAGCTTGGGGGAAACTGACGTTTCTTATATGACACAAACGCAGTGCTACCAAAGCATTAATAATTATCTGTTTTAATACATGTACAGCGGTTATTCGAATATATTACAGGAGAAAGGGTTTGTGACTTAGATAAAAGTATTTTAATTGCAATTACTAACGCATTTAAAATTAGAGGTCAATAGAACTAAATGGGTTCTCTAGAACCTATGTGTGTTGTATTTTGTTTAAATAATGAAATAAAATCGGACTTTGTTTATAATTGCAATGGGAAAAATGTTATGGCTTGTAAGAAAGAAAATTATTTCGTTTATCTTTGATGCAAATACGAAAAAGCAGTGAAGGAAATTCATAATTTATTGTTAATAATTATGATTTATTTCGTAAAAAAATTAGTATATATACATATTTAATTGTATATTATTAAGCTATACAAAAATATATAAAAAAGTATAAAATAATATTTTAAGGATATTTTGATTTTCTTAAATTAATTTTTTTATTCTTAGCCGAATTGAATTCTATTGGCTTATCTCTGCTTCTTCTTTGCTTCAACCATATGTCCTTTCAGTGCTGCCAGCTTTTAATATTAAATTAAAATTTTTAAGTTAAAATTAATATTTTTAAATTAAAACTAAAATTTATATTGAAACGTTGGATTTACCTTTCGTTTTCACTAACTCCATAACCACTGACTCCCTGGGTCCATACACAGAAACTCTAGAACGTGGTATAGCTGTATCATGCCTGTGTGCCGAATGAAAGGGTCTCCTATATAAATTTATTATATGCTTCGGTGGGTTATTTTGTTGGTGCCTGGGGACTAACTTAAAAAGCACTCGATCTTTGTTTGTTAATGGACGACTCGTGGTCGTGAGGCGAGAATAACTCGGTGTGGCAACTTTGTAACTGCTTGTAAACTTAAATCCGAATGGACGTGAACTATACTTATCCTTAATAGCTATTTTCTTTTGGCTTTGACATTCGGTATCCGCTATTACGTTCCAAGCTAAGAGGATAATCATTTTGAAACTTTTCCTATGGAAATAAGAAATAGATTTTTTTTACTTACTACTGCGTTTATCCTGACACATGGCAATATCCAGATAGCATCTATTGATCATAGTGTAATTAATGCCGTTACGGGTAACACATATGGGGTTATAACTTTTTGTGCAATTGCGTTTGCAGTCCTCGCAGGTTCCCTCATGCAAAAAGGTCCAAACTGTATGTCGGGAAATATGTGGAGAAGTTTTTCGTTTTAAAATGTTTTTGTTAATATGTATAGGTTATCGATTACTGATGGATTATTGACTCTAATATGCATTGTAGAAACTTGGTTCATATTTTTTTTAACAATACTTCAGTTCCAATAATTTGTCAGACATTAAGATGATCATTAAACAAATCTTTAAACCATACCGATTTTATGCGGGTTAGTGAATATTTTTTAGAGGACGCTAATCAAAACGATTGAATCTGTCTTCCCTATTCTCACTTAGTTTTCATCTCTTGTTCTCTTTTTCTGTCTGTGGTCTGTTTTTTACTACCATCAATATCTCTTAAACTCTTAAAAGATTTTAAGCGTTTTATTATCCCATCTTCTTATCTCTCTTTTGATATCCTCATCATCTAACCTTTTAATATATTATAGATACCATCTCGATATTATAAAAAAAGGAAAAAAATAATGGAGACAACAGCAATATAAAAACAAGAAATGTAAAAATGGTGAGACAGAGGAAAGTAGAATACCACAAACTTATAACAAAGGAAAATGCATAAGGAGAGCAGAATCAGTCGAAATCAGTCGAATTGTAGAATGGTCGTTGTACTATTTAAAGCAAAATAGGTTTATAAAAACAGTAGAATCTTCTATCACTCAAATCAAAAAAGGATTACAGAGTAAATGAAATGTTCTGAGCTACATTCGTCCATTCAAATCAAAATAGGTTTATAGAACTACATTCTCCTATTTAAAAGCAAAAAGGATTATAAAGTCAGTAAAATGTTCAGAGCTAGATTTTTCCATTTAAATCGAAAACGGATTAAAGAGTCAGTGAAACGTTCTGAGCCACATTCGGTTCCATTCAAATGAAAATAGGTTTATAGAATCAGTAGAATCTTCAGAACTACATTCTACCACTCAAATCAAAAAAGGATTATAGAGTCAGTGAAATGTTCAGACCCACATTCTTCCAATTAAATCAAAAAAGGATTACAGAGTCAATGAAATGTTCTGAGCTATATTCGTCCATTCAAATCAAAATAGGTTTATAGAATCAGTAGAATCTTCAGAACCACATTTTTCTAATTAAATCCAAAAGGGATTATAAAGTCAATAAAATGTTCAGAGCTAAATTTTTCCATTTAAATCAAAAAAGGATTAAAGAGTCCGTGAAATATGCTGAGCTACAAATTGCTCTGTACGCAGTAAAAACTTTACATGACCGCAATGTAAACTTACTTAAATAAGAATTAGGTACGTAGTCCCAACAACTTCTTCGAGAAAATCTATAACATCTCCTAATAATGCCATAAATATTATTAAATCTTGTCTTACCTTGAGCTTTAAGTTTACTATTCTGAAGTCTAAGTTCACACAAATTATCAAAAGTACGTTTCCTTCCCCAAAAAGTAGCACAAATTTTCGTATTGCCATATGGACAACGTCCTGTACTCGTAGTACTACTTTTAGAAGCAGCGATAGAACTTTTAGTCGTTGAATATGGTATTTCCGTTCGATTCGATGGATTAGAGTACTTTTGGTTGAGTGGAGTTGTAGTCTGGTGTCGTTTCGGGTTGTCATGAATTTGTCTTGTGACATAAGTGCTTGCCTGCGTTGTAAATGGCGTGGGTATATGCCTCTCAAATGTTGAAGACATCTTCAGAATTGGTTGCTCGACTGCACTTTCATTCTCATCGCTTCCTGTCATTAAATCTGATTTCGTAGACTCTATTGATTTTGTTGTTGGTTCTACAATGGACTTAATGATGAATTTATAAAAATTTGGTTGTGTTGTGAAGTCCAAATTCTTTTCCGTATCGGTTTCTATAATTTTAGAACTTCTGAGTTGATTCTCAAATTGGTTTGGCTGATATGTTATCGGCGCTCGCGGAGTATTAACTGTAGTTAATGATTCAATGATGGGTGTACTTGTGGTTATTACAGGTTCTTGACTACAACGTGAACATGTGCCCACATTTATTGTTGACATAGGGTTTATAGGGTGTTGCGGTGGAGCTCTTAAAGGTGTATGCTTTGTTGTTGTCGTTGTAATTGCATTCTTATGTATGAAATCCACGGAGTTGAAAGCTTTCTCAAGCTGCTCGAAGTAATCCATGGATGGTAAATTATTTAAATGTTGATATGGCATATATTGACCTATATTTGGACGGAAATTTTTATTTGTTTGTCTTTCATTGACATATTGGTTGTGAACAGGTGCGGAGTGTTGAATAATTGGTCTATTTTCGGGCATTGGATTTGACTTTTCGGGTAGAGTTTCAAACATAGCAGCACCCTGTTTATAAGCAGTTAAGTCATATGAATCAACTTCATGAAATTTACTGCCCACTAAGCTGGTCGTATTGTTCGGAGTGGGCATGTTATAGTAATTGTGTATTGGATATTGTTGACCATCATCACCGAAATATTGTGTTTGAAATATAGATGGCGCATATATGTAAGCAACATCGTCTCCAAATTCAGATTCGGGATTATTAAAATCGAAACTCCTAGCTTTGTCTTTGGGCATCGCATTACGTTTACGCGTGCCGCGCTTGTGTGAGTAAGTCTTCTCATTGTATCGGCCATTGTCTTCAGCACAAATACCTGGTGAAATTATTTGCCAATCTGAATGTTTTGGATTTATACACAATATATAATGAAATGTAATGCAGTTTATACAAATGAAGATTAATTAAGATTTAGGTTGCTTAGAATTGTGACCTACCTTTCCCACTCTTCACATGTTCGGCATTCACTTCACACTCATTTTTGAAAGTCGACTTCACACCAGCGAATAAGGCGCAAACTGGATTATAAATAGCGAGGCACGGTATTGATTTATGGAGCAATGGCTTGCGTGGCTTATAATATGCTTTCTTAGAGGGGCACACACCATTTTTAAATTTAGACCAATCTAGAAATATTTATTGGGTGTATAAGTATACCATTGTTTTCATATAGCTTGAATTATTCCAAGTCAAGTTCCTTTACTTACCTGCGCCTGTCAGACAAGCTTCACGTTTCAGTTCGCATTCATTGGTGAAGGTACGCTTGATGTTGAATTGATGATTTAATCCACATATAGGCACATAATCTTCCGGGCAATTCAAATCGCATCCTTGTTGACAATATTTCAGTGGTATTTTCTTAAAAACTGCAAATATTAAATTCTCTTATTCCTTTTTGTGCCTTCATCTAAACTCTTCTAAAATACTTACACTCTTCGCCGCCATTGGTCACCTGCAGCAAGCAGTTGTTGGGAAAGAGTATGTAAGCAGTACCGTTTGTCGCACAAACTGGTGTATTGTCGCCAGAGCAATCTACCACAGTCGCTTCGGTCACATCCTCCGGTACGTATGCCAGGATGCGGTTGGTGAGCAGTGAACTGCAGAAAATGAAAAGTAAAACGCGTCTGAAGCACATCTCATGCGCTGTGCTTTAGTTCAATGTTCTCTCGAATAACTTTTTGTAACCTTAAATTTTTTGGTTTTATACGAAGTGGTCTTGAACTGGTCACAGCTTTTGCGGCGCTAATCTATTTTCCAGTAATGCTGGCATTGCAGTAATTATCGTAAGTAATTCGAATAAATTTCTGCGTTCCAGATACGCTGCGATGTATCTGCAGTCGCTTTGGCATTTGGTACGCTTAATCAGCCAAACCGAGCGCGGTCATTAATCTGAGTTTTTTTAATTATTTTTTTCCATTTTTTTCATTTTACAATTTTTGAAAATTCTTTGTTTTCATCAAGTTTACGTTTTGTTTAAACAATTTTTTCGTTGTTCTTGGCTAAAGGTTAAAGTCGCGCTCTAAAACGTGACTTAATATGCATTTTTGTTGCTTTTGCCAACGTTTCGTGGTATTGTTGATTTTGTAAAAATTACAATGATAAAAAAGAAATTTATTTCAATAATTTGAGTTTATCTTGAATTTATATATAATTTTTTCAAAACGTCTTAAGTTGTCATGTGTCTGATAAATGTAATACAGATAAGGGTCTGTAAAAGGTGTGATTGCTTGTTGGAATTCTTCTGCTAAAATGATAGATTAAGTGGCTATAAATAACTTAGTGATTATGAGATAAAATACTTAGGGCCGATTTCTCAGACACAGTTTAGGTATTCCTCAAATCTCCTCCTTAGAAAAACTGAAATACCGTAAATACTGAAGCCAAATCCCTAGGCTAAATCCAACTTTCTTGATTTCATTCATATTAAAGGCAGATTTGAACCTTAATTAACGACAATGAGATCGATATCGCAGACCCAGCTTAGGTATTCCTCAAATGTTCTCCTTAGAAAAACTGAAATACCGTAAATACTGAAGCCAAATCCCTAGGCTAAATCCAACTTTCTTGATTTAATTCATATTAAAGGCAGATTTGAAATTTAAGTAACGACCATGACATCGGCCTTTATTACATTAACCTTCAGAATTGTTTATTTATTCTCAGTAATGTACTTTCTCGATTTAATTCATACTAAAGCCAGATTTAAAACTTAAGTAATGAGACAGTGAGATCGGCTCCCATTATATTTACCTTAAGTGATGTTTTTACACCTAGTAAAAAATTCCTATAATCGCAGTGAGAGATCTAGAATTCTTATTACATATATATATATAAGACGTTTATGTATATATTTACTCGTATATATGTAAATATATATGTATCCACGGAGCTGTGAGTATAAGAAGAATTAGTTTAGTTTGCTAACTATGTACCTTTGAGTAGCAAAGTTGTCACTAAGTGGAAGTATTGATATTGGTATTAACATGTGCCCTCTTAACTTAACCATACATATGTTATGTGTCTACAACTTCAGAAGAATTGATTAGAAATTGTTAGGTCTATTATTCACGTCCATTTGTATAATCTCGTAGCAATGTGAAGAATTCTTCAGTGCAGTATTAAAACTATGCAGTCTGGCGATTTATACAATCACTCAGCAATGTGTAGAATTCTTCAGTATTTCTAAATATTTCAGTATTTCGCACTAGCCGAGCCCAATATAATATTATAAATGTGCGTTTTATATATATATTGCATAATTTGCTACATATTTTTTATAAATAGAGACAAAGTAAAGTAAATTATTTTTATAAATTTATAAATAATTGTTTATATATTAATGGCATTTTTTCAGTTATTTTTAAATTTTTTTAAAATTATTTTAGATATATATATTTTAGATATATACGAATACACACATAACAAATTATATATAAAATATGTGCTAATACTTATATTCATTGAATCAATTTACGGGATTCTTTGTGTTGCCAGCAGACCTATATCTCGAAGTTTGCTTTGAAGTGGTTTTACATGAAAAGTATCGAAAAATTTAGGAAAAATTTTAGATAAAAAGCTCGATCAGTTCAATTGAATAATCCAGTGAACTGAACTCACTGCAACCGCAATCCGACTATCATAGCCAATTACATCCAAAGCTAAGGTATCTAATCTCTTTATTACAGAAAACGATCTGTCAACGTTATTTGTGGTGATTGTTGGAATGGTTAAAATCACGAGATACTTTATAAACAGAGAGAAAGATCTATACTATAACAATTTCAATTCGCAGGGGCTTTAGTTACTCTTGCTTCATCTCTAGCTACATGCGTGGTTGTCAACGTTTCTTTTCCAAAGCTTTCTACTGGCATATTGTGGTATTACAACGGATCCATATATTTTCTAAAAATATAAATGGTGGGTAATATATGCATGCTTGATGCATGTAGAATTCTTTGACACATACTAGTACCAAAAAATATTCCACATTCTTAGGATCCAAACCATTAGAACCATGTAGTATAATTAGTTAAGGTATTTTTTGACAAGGATCCAGCTCTGAAACGCTAGGTTCTTATAGCTTAGTAGAAACATTTGCTAGCTGACTCTATTATGATTTGTTGTTTTATTAAGTTATTCGAGGTATATGAGTTTACCCAGAGAATTAAAATCCAGATTGATATTGATGACATTCCTAACAGTTTCTAAAGTACAGTCGCCAGCAACCAGTTCGACATTTGTTTTTATTTTTGGTATGGAACACCTGGAAGAATGATCTTCTAAAGTCACAAATGGTTCATATCATTTGCATGCCTGGATTCATGTATAACTCTTTGCTTTATGTATATGCCTACTACCCTACACTCATCGCACCAAAACCTTTAGAGCACTGTAGGATGATCACATAAGGTAGGTCTTCCCCAGGAACTAGCTCATCATATCGGTGCACACATTTGATATTACTACTCCTTCCAAAGTATAAATATTTATAATAATAAACTTTGTATTGTGTCGTAATACACGGACCCATTTAATGTGGGTTTTTGTTTTCAGATGAAAACATTTAATTGAAAAAAAAATTCATTTGATATAGTACAAGCTGGCCCGGAATAATTTGGAGGGATTTAAATTTTAAAAAGCTACTCTTCTTCCCTCTTTATATACTCGTATGCCATTAATAATAAGACATGTTCTAGTAAAAAACTTTCTTGATTTTGTTATCTTTCGTCTCTTTTTCTGAATAATGAGACTTGAAGTTTTAGAATAAAGAACTTTTTAATTTACTATCGAATATTTACTCGTATTCAACTACTGCTGTTCAGAGTTATTTCGCATCCCTAAGGCAAAATTGATGATTAAAAATGCAAAAGTGCATATCTGAAAACTAATCGAGATAGTTTGGCAATATCGAAAATAACGAAAACAATTTTCTTCCACAGCTGCGACCGGAAAACACGAAATTTTCAAGTTTTGTTCTAATTTATAACAGAAAAGCGGAGAGCGGTTAAGCCTGGCAATGATGCCAGCGTTGCAAACTTGAAAATTACGGACCAAAATACATAGCAAAATATTAACAATAAAACCCCTCAAGCCTGAAATAAATAAAAATTTTAGAAGCATAACTTGCGACACAATTGATGCGACAACTTCGACAATACAAATGAAATGACAACAAACAACGCCAACACTGCCAGCATTGCCAACACTGCCAGCATTGCCAGCAACAACGACAACAACAACAATTCCGCGTCGTGTCTGCACATAAACAATAACAACGGCAGCCCGCGAAATTGTCGAAGAGATGCGCTTTTTGAATCGTAAAAAAAATCAAGTGAACTTTTATGGCGCAAAACTGGATGCGCGTCCTTAGAAAAAAAGTCCTTAAAAACCTGCAAAATACAAAAAAAAATCTTTGAGATACGCTGAACTGCTCAGTTATGAATGCGGTTCTTTATTATTATTTTTTATTATTCATTTTTTCATCTGTTTTGTGTATTTTTATCATTTAAGTATTGTTGAAGATTTGGAAAGTTTCGTAAAAGTAATACTTTTTAGTGCGATTTTCTTCATGCTAAAGTATTTTTATAGAAATTATTTCGAAATTTGTTTGAAGATGGGTAAAAACTGATTTGTTGGCATTAAAAAATCATTGCCATAAAACTTTTGTCGTTTTCTCATCCCGTCTCGTTTTCCTTCTCTTTTCCTTTTAGTTCTATTCCAGTCTTTTCTGTAGTTTTGTTTTTGCTTTATTATTGCAAAATCCGGTGCTCGGGTTACCCGGTATAGAAAAGGTAAACAAAAGTGCTTAAGTGGAGTTATGAGCTTTTGTTGCCCTAACGCTTAAATATCAAACTTCCACACTCATCTCGCATCGACTTACCATAACTTTTATGATAAAAAATAAAAAAATTATTTTAATAAAAATAAAAATTATATTAAACCCACACAAATATTATGGTAGTTTACATATTCTATTTTAAGATTTATGGGCCATCGGCAAAGAAAGGGAAACTATTTCAGACAAAATAAATTAAATGCAAAGCAAAAGTTTCGAAAGAATCTAAATAAATTGCTTATCTAAACACCTACCAGAAATAAGATAAATAATCAAGCAACAATAACAGATACAAGGTTAGGTTAGGTTGAGAAGACGCAACAATAACAGATACAAGGTTAGGTTAGGTTGAGAAGACGCTTGCTAACAGTTATCAGCACTTCCATTCGGAGACATAAATTGCCCATTGTGATGCCCTTAAAGATTTTGCTAGCCTTTTAGAGGCGAGTTACTAACCTTTGTTATCTTCGTGTACCATCCCTGATGAACCACTTGATTTTTCGGATGAAGTTAAGGAGATCTGATAAGTTTACTTTCGTTATCTCTGCCAGGTCAGTGAAAAAGCGATTCCCAAGATATTGAAGTCGCCTTGTCTGCGACTCCCTGGACAGAGACGCAGGAAGTGGTTGATGGATTCTACCTCCATTTCATCTTGGTAATTCCTATATAATTCACTTGTTGGAATTCGCCACCGTTGGAGCATAGGCGCTATGGCACAGTGCCCCGTTAGTACTCTAGTAACTAAACGAACTGCAGGTTTGTTTAAACCCAAAAGGCTTTTTGTTTTATTTTTGTCTAATCTAGGCCATAAGGTTCTAGTGACCTCACAGTCGTTGTAGTTAGACCATAAATTACTAGTCACCGTTTTTTTGAATTCCTCTATGATCCTAATTAGTTTCGGTACATCGGTATTTGTACTAAGAGGTCGGCTTCTCTTATATGCAGTTCAGAACCTCTTCTGGCCATCTCATCTGCTAGTTCATTCTCTTTAATATTGCTAAGACCACGAACAGAGTAAAGAAAGACCTTGTGATATTTGATGCTCTTCAGTGAGGCGTGACATCTGAATACAAGCTTGGATCTAACCGTTCTAGATTCAATTACTTTTAGTTAACATATACAAACTTCATATTTAACTACTAATTTCTTTTGTGACTACCAAGCGGTCATTTTCTTTCGAACTAGCGTTTTTTCAAAATTTAAGTTTCTATCGGAATGATCTATGTCTTTGAATGAGATGTGGATATATTCACTGGTTAACAACCTATTAAAACTTTAAAGTCATGGGTTATCTCCAGCAACTGTAGGGACAAAAAATAATAAAATAATGTTAATATGTTTGGGCAACATTTTAAGACCTAAGTGAAAAGAAGTCTTCTATGAGACGAGCTGCCACTGGGATATATATATCCATTTATTTCATATTCTTAAGTTATATATTTAAGAAGTGTCTTTTTTTGTTTAAAAACAATTAAGATATTATAGTTCCAATTAAACTAGACTGTAAACTCTGTTAGCTCTACTTTGATAAATGTAAGAAAACTGGATTGAATGGGTTTGCTGCTATGTTATCCTAACTTTCTTTTCATTATTATGACATTGTTTGAAAAATGATTAATCTCTCCTTACAATCGATTACTAGCTCCGATTATATTAGTATATGTGTGATATCACTTATATATAGGACATCGTGTAACTTTCTATATTTTGCTTAAAAGAGAACTTTATGGGTTAAAAATTCCGAATGACAGGACATATTAACGTTCTTGTGACACTCTTCATAATTACTCTTTTGTGCTTTTTTTTAAATTTTTTTAACACATTTGTGATCTGTTAAAACTTTTAAAACTCGTCAAAAATAGTACGAAAATAATTAAATTTATTTTTAATATTTCTGGCCAGCAAAAAACTAAATTTTTTATGGTTTTTTAAATTTACAATTTTGTATGGTCGTTTTTAAAAGCCAAAGTTTGTGATATTAAAATATTGCAAGGATTTATGGATAATTTTTTATGCGTGCAATGAACTCAAAGGAGGCATTGAACCATATACCAAACTTTTTATAGTTTCATAAAAATTTTAAATAATTTGAAAAAAAAAAAATAAAAAATATGTACATGTCTTCAAAGAAGAAAATCATTTGGTTATGAAGCAGTTTAAGCTACGATGGTCATAG